ATAAATTCAACGATCGTCTGCATACATTTTACCTCTAGTAACAACACGTCGTGTAACTTTGGCAAGCATGAGACAGGACAGCAGCGCACAGATTGAAGGAATCCGTCCCTAACCGAACGCTCGAAGAAAGCTGTCGGGATTTAATGTCTGTCATGTCATGACCTGTGTAAAATACGGCATTCATCTCATCAGATGTCCTCAATTGAATCTTCGTTATCAATAAAAGCTGACAGATTACAAGATCTGATCCTATGGTTAAGCCATCAGGCGAGATCTGTAAGGTGCGAAAACGTATTTGTAGGAAAACTCCATATGCATGCAGAATTAGGTAAATTTTGTAAGCTTCTGCAATTCCCACCGATATCGTGTCATGGAGGACTATAAGTTACAAGTAACGATTTCTTGTAGTTCCACAATTAGCAGCACGTGAACAAAGAAATCAATATTTACTTATACTAACCAAGTTTCGACCGTGCGGCATCGGCGCTCATTAGTCCACTGAAAAAAATTTCCTTCAACCTAGAAATGGTCAGTTGATGCTTGACCTCAGTTGACTAGAATTTAATATTGCCAGCTTAATCTGAACTAATCATTCCCGCCATACCCCCTAGAAACAGAAGTGTCAAGGAGGTTAACGTCGTCGCTATATGCTCTGTTACGATTGAGGAACTTGTATAGCGGATACGTTAGTAAAGGTAAAAAAACAAGGGAACGTCAAATCAGTTGAGTGATGCAATGCAACAAGACGATGTTCGCCTAGATGCAACAGATGCTAAAAGCCTATGACACGTCCGATTCATCGCATTAATTAAAGGGGCATCGGCGACAAATATGTTCAGCCAATCACTTCAAGAATCAACTTCAATCGTACGCTGACTAATAATACTCTGACAAAAGCGGTGGTGTTCATTAGGTCGAAACGCTGGTGTATGGAAACGAAACACAAGTGAGTATTTTGGTTCTGTCGCGCGGTTGGCCGCAAAATTGGAAGAAATCACTGCTGAGACAAAAAATTTTTACCGCATTGAATTTGACTGTTCTTCAACTTTGCTAACGACGTTTTGCGCCTTCTCCACATTCTTTTCCGAAACGGCCAATCGACTGCTGGCGTTTTTGAATTCAATCTCCACTTCAGCGATTTTAGCCTTCATGGCCATCAACTCTTCTTCCGAAGCCCTAAAAGAACTAATGCTACATTCAAAGACAAATAACGGTCGAAAGACCGTGAACCGTCAAGCACAAACTTACGCACTGAGCAATTTTCTCAAGTGTTCTTCGACGCTCGTCTTTTCTGACGTGATCATCTGCAACTCCGTTTTCTCTGTCTTTATCACTGACTGAAAATAAACCGAAAGCGTCACACAGTAAAGCTAGATGCCAAAGGACGCGATATACAAACCTTTTTCGCAACAAAACTTTTGTGCATTTGATCAAGGGTAACAGAGATGGCCGATATTTTGGTTTCCATCGCCTGATGGCGTCTCTTCAGTTGCGACTGCTTCACCTCCAATGGCTTCATAGCATCAACTGCCTCCCTTTCTTCGTCCTACGTTTAAAGAATGAAATCATGCGATTCGAGCAAAGAACAACAAACGCTACCTTCGTCTTGTCTATTTTGTCCAAAACCGAGCGCACTTTCTGTTGTTCTTCCTCAAGTTCTTTTCCAAGTCTAGCCAGCGTTTTTTCGAGATCCCTTACGTTTGCCCAAGCAAGTTCGCAGGTTGCGTCCTTCAGTTGCACCTTCGAATTCTCCATCAGTTTGAATCGTTCCAGGTGTTCGAACAATTTATTTACCTCCCCGCGTAACTTTGGCAAAGCCTAATGCAAACACTTGTCAAAAAACGGACAATCACAGAACGCGTATATTTCTAGCTTGCAGTTCACATCATCTAGCCGAACGCTCAATGATCGTGTCCCCAGCATCTCAACAAACTTAAGACTTCGATATTTTAAAGAACGCATTTCTTTCTTTAATGAGCACTTCCAGAAATAACGGAGAAGCCGTCATTTGCAATACGATCAGTCACTACAAATGAACGAAATTTAAATTCTTAGACTCAGTCATGGCTTAAACAGGGCAAAGCTCAACTCACTACAATTGCTATCTAGTGAGCCTAGCTTCAGACCATTTGATGCGTTTTTACGCTGCTTCCAGATATGGAAGTCAGCTGTGACGAATAAGTGGCGATGGAAGGCAATAGTAGATACTACCTGGGCGTCGCTGGGGACGAGTATGGTCAACCCGTCACCTATGAAATTTCCACGTGTAATCCTGACAGTTCCATGATAAGGTGAGAATGTCCCTTCAGTAATAAGATCAACAATGCCACCGCTACCTTCATCTTCATCTTCCACCTTTCGGGTCGCGGAGGCAGACGCGTCAGACAATGCTTCCAAAGTTCCCGATCCTGTGCCAGAGTCTGAGCTTCGGCAAAAGACAAATGCAGTCTGGAACAGA